GGACATACTGATGAAAATATTTTTTTTCCAAATAGTTTTTCTGTCAAAATCACAGCTGTTAAGTACAGTAAATACTCAGAGAAATGAATTGCAGTCTTAACATTTTCTGAATTGAATCAATTTCTTTAGTGGGAAAAGTGGAAAAAAAGTGTAGTAAAAAGCAGCAGCAGCACTGAGGCCAACAAATACAAGTGTAAAGGGGCAGAGAGCATTCCTCACACTGCTTCCTTTACACAAGACATTCTATGATAATGTGTTCACGGTATGTTTCACTACCGTGAATATAAATACTTTGACATTGATCAAGTAAACTAATGGTCATTTTATATTCATATATAATGAATATGTCATATTTAATACCTAACATTTTGATAAAAATAGCTTGAGATAGCTATGAGATAGCAAGGTGGATTTAATATGTCCTAAACACAACAAATATAATTAAATTATTTATAAAACAAAAAGGAATTCTTAACTTCGGTTTAAATCCATTTACAAAACTTCTTTGACATTTAAAAAAAAAGCTCCATCCCAGGTTGAAATCAAACCTTCAGTGTCTGAACAATTGTCAGTGATTACTGACTAACCCACTAGCAGAGATGGAGTGGAGTACTGCAGAGACAGTATCACTCCCCTCAGTGAATAACCGGGAAGTGATGCTGCCTGGGTATGTTAGTTGGCCAAAGAGCTGCTCTCTTTTTCTGTCAGTGTCAAGGGATGCCGTTTCATAAAAAAATTAGTCCTGACAGGAAACAAATCGATAGGAATCATGTTTTTACTCCACCTTCTGAAGGTACAACACACTCAGGAAAAAAAAAACCCGAATGTGTACACCAAAAATACAGCTTATCACACAATGTGCAGGCTGCAGAAATATTCTGTTGTGTTGTATACAGAAGTTTCAAAGTAGCCTAGTCCTCATGTACAGAACTGATGTGCCTGTTGTAGTAATACTCTCATTTTACAGAGACAACTAACAAATGTGTCACCACAGGTGTATGAAGCATGTCATTTGCTACTGATTCTTCAGGAAACTCTGACACCTGGCATCTCATTGTAAAAGGCTTTGCAACGACTTGAGTCTGGCTTTAAAATGTCCACTACTGTAATTCATTCTGTATCTCTGTAGTACCTCATATTCCCTGGATTGGTGTACAGGCGTGGGTGGCTAGCAGAGCATACATTTTGTAATTCTGCGTTTTTGGCAGAAACACACTACACTGAACAAAGGCGACATTGGGAATAACAATCAATTTTCGCAGGCGAAAACAGAAATAGAATATGCTCCCTTTTTTAATCAAGTAAGGGTAATGTTTTTAATGAAAGATATTAATCAGAGGGTATACCAATATATCAGAAGCCCGTCACATTAATCTGTGACACAAGCAGAAACAGACTCTCGTTGCTCTCTTGTTGTTTCAGAAGACAAGGAATTGGTTGCAACTCATGCAAAAATAAAAAGAGTTCTCTTGCTGTTCCGAGGAGTCAGAGAGACAACCTTTACAAGTAGTGGCCTCTACAATGTTTGAATCAGGCACCTCTATATTTTATCCTGCCTAAGAAATGTCTTACTGTGTTAATTGTACTACTGAGTGCTTCAGGGACACTAGTAAAAGTCTTAGAATAATTTGTTTTTTAAGCTAAGTTGAAAAATGTTCCTTTTAAAGTTCAGTGATGATAAATTAAGTGAAACTAAAAGGAACTGCAGATGAATAATGAGCTGTTATCATCACATTAATCTGCTCATCAAGAGCCCTCCTACCTGTATAGTAAAAATACTGTTTCTTAGAAAAATCACATCTGACTTTTCTCATTATTCCAGTAGTAGTTCTTTTCTCAGTCATCTAATGAAGACACACACTAATTTCCTTTTAATTACTAAAATATCAATATCTTCCTTTCTCAATTTGGTCTGAAAGCACATTTTTAGGAAAACAGAGAAAAACACTCTCTTTGCAGTATATAAATAATTGAACTGAGAATTGAGAATTGATCTGAATTGAACTGAATTGAATTGAATATATAAATAGAAAGTGTAAACAATGTGCTGTTTACATATTGTGAAATAAGGAAAATAAAAACAGAAGTAGTAAAAGTTATGGAAAATATAAGTCTGATGCATGAAATGTTTGTCAGGGAGAAAAAGTAGAACAACATTCCAAACTAACCAATTAAATTAACCAATTAAAACAATGAAATTAAATCCATACTGCAGGATCATACCTGTTGGGCATACAAATGCGTTTGCTGTGTACCATGCGTTTATCTCACCCACCTCTAATTAACAGCAATGATGTTGCATTTATGTAATGTGTTTCATCCCAAAGGATCTCGCAGTGCTTCACGTGCAGTAGGGGACTTTCTTCATCCATCGCTGCAGTGAAGCACCACTCTTGCTGACGTGTAGCAGCCACTACACAGCAGGCCAGGTGGAGAAGGGAGAAGCTGCTTCACCAGTTGACTGGGAAACCTCAGGAAGACCAGATGGTTCAAGCGGATGTGGAATTCAGCCATGAGCCCTACTCCCTCACACATGGGATATACTGTACTGTGCAGTTAAATGTCTCATCTGAAGGGCACTTTCTACAGCACAGAGTCCCAAGTCACCCTGCGGGGACATTAGTTAGGAAATGCTGGTCCAGTTCAATCCCATCTCCGGGTCAATCAGCACCACTTACTGGGTCAAAAATTGACCAATTAGGTACAGGGGATTCTTGTAAGTCTTGGTATCAATAATTGTATTTTATTGTCATTGATTACAGCACAAGTCATTTGCTTTTCCTGCTAAGCAGTTGCATTGTGTGGATTATGGAACAAGTAAACAAGTTTATTCCATGCTGAAAAGAGAAGAAAGAAAACACAACGTTTCGGCCGTGGAGCCTTCTTCAGGTGTGAGGATGTATGTGGATTATTATATTATTGGTTTATTGAGCTCATTTAATTAATTGCTTTTGTTGAATATTGCAAGAGTATAGTCAAGTTGTTTTTGTAATATTTCTTTCTGATGCAGTATGCTAATATACTTTACTGAAATTTCGTTTTCCTGAGCACCTAGCAGTTGTTATTGTTATTAACATAAGATAAGATCACTTTATTGGACATATACAATTTCTTGCATTAGGAATTTGTTTTTTCGCATACCCCAACTTGCTCTCCATGAGACACACAGACTGGGAGAGAAGACTGGGGTCAGAGCGCAGGGTCAGCCATTGATACAGTGTCCTTGGAGCAGCTGGGGTTAAGGGCCTTGCTCAGGGGCCCAACAGAGTAGGCACAGACCCTATGGATCTGAGCCACAGGTACAGAACCATAGCCACAGAGCCGTCCCAAGAATGTCTGCATCGCCAAACATGGGGCTCAAACCCACAACCCTGAGATTAAGAATCTCATGCGCTACCGACTGAGCCAGTCGGGCACATATACCCCCCTCTCCTTTGTATTCTTTATGAAATCATACTGGAACACATTTGTAAATATAAAGAATGACATTTTACAATAATTACATTTTCAAAACTGTAAATAAGGAACAAATTTAGCTCTGTTGAAATGAAGTAGCTAAAGATTCCAACTCTCTGCCAATCAAGGCATCGTACCAATACTGGTATTTTCATAGTTCAATTTACTCTACGTCTAGCAATTGCACGACTTATAGTTAGCATTAAAATAATACCCTTTCTCCACTATTATACGCTGTATCTTTTCTGCACTTGAGAAAACTCACTAAATTCCACACCATGGATATGTACTTAATGATTTCAATTTGAAAAGACAATTGAACAAGTACAGAATTTTATTGACGGAACAATATTCTTTCGTCTGATAACAACAGCTTAGGTTTCACTTCATTACCATGGTATGAAGGGTTTTTTCAAAGTCAATGTTGATAAAGTGAAGCTTAATACAATTCCTGCTTCGTATATTTACTTTTAATCACATTGTGTATACATACTGTAAAGCATATAAAAGCCTTTCTCTGTTTCTTCAGTGTACAGGCTTACATCAGCTGAATGCAGGTTCACCACTATTATTGCCAATAATTGTTAAAACTACAGTGAATCATTTGGTAGAAAGCTGAAATTGTCTCCTCTTTAATTTTTTATTCAATTACCCCTGAAACCATAACAAACCGTGAAATTCAGTTTCCTTTTAACCTCTTCATAAGTTTAGATTGAACAGACTGATGGAAATGGCACACAATGCCTCTACTATAGTAACAGACAAGGAAACTTGCATGATGTCAGAGTTTGCTTATTTATCATTCATTATTAATTGAAATGTGGAACATGATAGTGTTTTATCTTGATATCCCTGCTTCACCTCTATGAATTATACTGGTATTGTGTCACCACAATGTTGATACAAGAATTTCATAAATTAGAACCAAGTACTGAATATTAACTTAACTTATTTAAATATTTTTACAATAAAATACACTTCATATGGTGGTTTACTAAAAAGTCAGAGTGCCCTTCAACAAAAATAGACATGGTTAGAAATGTTATCAGATAATGAGGATATAAGCTTAAGCATTTCACAAATAGTATACAGTCTATCAGTTTAAGCTTTGCGCTTTATAAATCATGTGACATACATTTAACATTGATTTCTGCATTTACCACACCATAAAATACTCTTTGAAGAGTACCACGATGGAGCTTTTTATTCATCTTTTAACAGAGTACTCAATTTTCATGCCCATTTTAGTCAACAGTAGAATTTACATAGACAGCATTGGCCTGCAGTAAATGGCAGCTTTACTGTTAAGAGGCTGTACATCTAAATGCTTCAGTAGTGTATTGCAATCACTAGCAGCAAAAAAAAAAAAAAAAAAAAAAAAACACTCCAAAACACTTTCTTTAAATTATTTCAGCACACAAGCCATGCCCTACAAACCAACAGTGAGTAGCTTTATAGCCCAAATGCTCCTTAATTATTCCCATGTGAGAATGTGGGTCAATTAAGTAATTAAACAAACAGTGCACCTCACGTGAGACCATACACGGGCAATAGAGGCCTTAACAACCTCTAATGGTAGTCCAGCTGTAACTACCCCACCTCACAGGTCATTCATCCTGTCTGCAAAGAACAACTGCTCATCTTTTATTTGAACATATTTGGCTGACTCTTTTATCTAAAGCACATTATTTGATACACCCTTTTATCCAGCTGTGTTTGCTGGAGCAATCTGCTCAAAGTGCCTTGCTCAAGGGTACTGTAGCAGTATCCCCACAAGGCATTTGAACCCACAACCCTCTAGACATACGGTAAGTGCAGGGTAGCGACCACTATTCCACAACCCCACCTTGTCCTGCCTTACAACCACCTCACAAAACCTGCATCTGATGCTGAAATAACATTCAGGATCTCTTAGAATAATTTTTAAATCAATAATAGAAAATAGACACATAGGTATTCACATTGAATCTACGTTTAACCCTGAACCTAATCCCTAAGACATGCTCTGATCACTGCTGTAACAGAAGTTACTGTACCATTTTTAATATGTGAGTACTTGTTGTGTATTTTGGTACAAGAGTTTTGAACAAATGAGAAAATTATGATGGTTTTATAGGTTATGAAAAAACAGTATTTTCAGTCCCAAATCTACAGTACTTCTACCTGTGTCGTCTTGCCCTTGGAATGAAGTTTTCAGTAGCTTTCAGAATTTCGAATGAGTAAATAATCAAATCCCCACACAAGACCAATGAGATTATGTTCCTTCTCCCACTCAGTCCATGACCTTTGAGACTAGGAATTATATTACAAAAGACAAGTCATCACTGTTTCAGTTGCGAATTTATTAACCTCTATCATATGTTTTCAGTAAATAACCAGTTATAACATCCAACTCATTGACACGAGAAGGTGTATTTTGAGAGATTGCCAGCTTTTATTCATGAACCAGTTATTTAAGATTACAGTCATTTTCTAAGATGCTGTTCTCATATCCTGGACTAAATCTTTTGCCTTTCTTGCTTCCCAAAATCCTGATTTAAATATAATTTCGCTGCTTGCCCAATAGGCTTTTAAAACAAATAGTCTTTGTTATATACAGTATGGTAACTTTAAAAAAAAAACTCAATGCTGTATCAGAATAAAAACACCCCCCATTGACCGAAATGTTTTAAGCGAGCAATGAACACTGTAATCTCTTTACTGTATATTGATGTATACATCCAGCCCTTGAAGAATTGCGGGGAGGTATGCAGGTATGGAGGGTATTCTGAAAATCCATACTTTCAGGACTTTAAATTCTTCCTGCAGAACCATGAAACAGCCTTCTCCTACAGTATGTCACTAGCGCCAACAAGGACCTTGACAACTTGAATACCCACACGCTCCGTCCAGAAGCCTGTCAGCTCACTCTGGGAGATCTGTAGTCTGAGTTCCTGTCAAGCAGCTAACCATGCAAGATTTCTGTTGACAAGTACTTAACAATATATATTCTCTTCTGATCACAGGATCACCCAGTTCTAGTACTTCTCTTCACAGGGATAGCGAGCACCACAGAACATGCAGTATTTCACCTTCGAACGGAGGTTTGTTTTTTTACTTTTTGTGTGAGTGTGTGTCCTGTTTTTTTTTCTTACTATGAAAATCTCAGCAGCTATATTTGGAATCCAGGACTGGCATAAAAGCCATCTATTTCCCATTTGCATTGCAATGCACTTTGGCAATACTTTTTTTCCACTATGTCTCAATAATTCATGAATATTAATTGACACAGATCAGCTTCACTTAAAAGTTTAATGTGCTCATTTTAATGAGTTGCCTTTTAGAATTCCTCAGACAAGGCAAGCTCAATTTCTAAAATGTTTTTTATGTAAACAGACCTCAAAATCTATTTCCTAAGCTTTATATTTCACATACTGTATCATTTTTATGAAACAAAATTGCAGAAATTTATATAATCTAGGTCTGAACAAAATAGTGCTCTCAAAGGTACTGTAGGTCTCAGCAAATAATTGTATATACTGTATATCAATTTATTCAGCAGAATAAATAAACAAGAGTAAAATTGCAAGCAATTTTTCACAGCATAGCTAAAGCTTTAGCATTGAAGTGTAGCTATAGACCACCACCTACATAACAATTGATATAAGAAAGCAATTTGGTCATTTTAAGACTAGATCTATATTTGTGACTGACATACCGTACATTGCATTTCTAGTACAGTAGGGTCTAAACATTTGCAAGAGTTCGGTGCAGAGAACTGTCGAAATCAGCCAAATTTCCAAATAACATCTCCTTATATGTATAATTACATATAAGTCCACTCCTATACCACTATATATAGTATGTATGATTAAATAGACATACTGTAAGTACAGTATAGTTATCAGCTAACATAAACATGAATCCCTCCTCTGTGTTTAGTGGATGCCTGCAGTTGTTTACCTGCTTCGTGATCAGCACTCCCCACTGTCGCGAACAGGGCAATAAAACGATCAGTGACCCTGTAGACACAGACCTGGGAGCATTTGTTACAACAGAAAAACAAGACCATGGTGAGATATGGATGCCAAACAGCGGGCACGTGGGCAGGGGGCATCACTCAATAGCTACAGTAGATTCATCTCACAACACTAGTCTGATGTGCCGCTAATTTGAAAGATGCACTTAACAACCTTCGACTCCATTTCTTTCCACTCACCTTAGCAGGCAGACTGAATATTCAACTAAAGCACATTGAAATCAGTTTTGCGCCTACTTTTTGACTATGTATTTCGGCCATAGAAGAGTCGCTGTTTAAAACACGTTCATGTGTCTTAGTTGGCTTGCAAAAGACCAGACAACGCAACACAGCACAGCGCATCCACCTGGATGATGCAACAGCAGCCATAGTGCGCCAGAACGCTCACCACAGAGTGTAGGGTAGGGTAGGAGAGCAGAGATTATGGGGATTATTAGGAAGCCATGATTGGGAAGGGCCAATGGGAAATTTGGCCAGGACAGCAGGGTTACACCCCTACTCTTTCCGAGAAGCGCCCTGGGATTTTTAATGACCACAGAGAGTCAGGACCTCGGTTTTACATCTCATCCGAAGGATGGCGCCTGTTTACAGTATAGTGCCCCCGTCACTATACTGGGGCATTAGGACCCACATGGACTGCAGGGTGAGCGCCCCCTGCTGGCCCCACTAACACCTCTTCCAGCAGCAACCTTA